AGATGTTTTGGGTGCCAGAGAACCAGTATGGCTTCCACTGTCCACATCCCCAATATATAAACTCCAACAGTGTATCTGCACCACCAGACAGAAGTTCCCACAAGCACTATCACAGCCTGTGCAATTTCCGCTGTGGCAATAATATTCCCATCAGACAGCTGGGAGGGAGCAGAAAGATCCACCATGCCAACAAAGCTCAGTTCCACCTGCTCTTCTCCTTCCCGGAGGGTCCTCCTCATGTCCTGGTGACAAATATTTAGCAAAATTTGCTGGAATCTGATAGGGCCTTGCCATGAACACTTCTGCTACGGCCTTGAAATTGTGATGTCAGGGCTGTCAACCATGGCTGTGTCTTCAGCACCCAGCCACCGCAGAACAGAGGCACCAGGAGATTCCTCTTACCCAAGTTATAGTGTAGGCGTAGAAACCTACCCCTGCTTCAGGTTGGCAGGGACCCACATCCCTCCAACCCACCCACTGGGTAACAGGGGCCACTGAGAGCCGCCCCTTGCTGAATGAGCACAGAGGCTGCCATTCAACATAAGGAAGAAGCCTGTAGTGCATGGTGATCAGAGGAAGCCCCATGCACCTCAGGACTTTCACACACCCAGCCTGGCCTCCATCAGCACGCAGACACCAGGTCCAAAGCACGGCCTGGCCTGCAAGCCCTGCAGAAGCCCACCCCTACCCCAGAGCAGCCCCAGCACAACCCCATGCTGGTTAGGGAGCCACAGCCCCTGGGTCCCTTGGCTGGGCCTGTAGCAAAGGGGCTTTGTGAGCAGAGGGGTTCAGGAAGGAGCCATCTGTACCCCGAGAGAGGCCCTCCATTCCCCCGCCGCCACCTTCCGACGCCGGTCTCTGAAGTGACCTCATATGGCTGGTCGCCGTCTTCCCGCGAAAACGTCTGTGACGCCACACCTGCTCCTCAGACCCCGCACATGCTGTAGCCCCAGCGCAGCCCAGGCCGCTCCCGCGGCAGACCCCCGCCCGTCGTACGGGGAAGCGGCGCCCCGGCCTCGACGCCCGGCCCGGGCAGCGG